TCTCGTGTCTCAGACTGATTTGATTTTCTTTTTAGGTGGGAGATATTCTACAGACGTTGGCCGCCTCGAAAGCGACCGGCGCGGCGTCGACGGAGACGCTCTCCTCTGTCCTTTCGTCGCCTGGGGTGATTATGAAGCTCATATTTTTGTCCGCGTTGTCATTGGGCCCTGTACTGGGGCGCGAGAAATTGAAGGGCCTCATCGGGACTGGTTCTGGTTCTGTGTCGTCACAAGTGGAGAAGGTGGATAATGGGGAGCAGGGAGAGGGGAGGAAGGGAAGGAAGTTGAGTCTGAGAGGGTGGAAGTGGGGAGAGAAGAGGGACAGGAAAGTGTCGGGCCCCAGTGAGGAGGAGGAGCGGCAGACGCTGATGAGCGAGAAGCGCAGCGTTGGCGCATAACACCTACCGTCGTCTTCGCCACTGCTGCATCTTAACCGCGACCGACATCCGCATCGATACCAACCCCGCACCACGAGTCTGGAGACGAATTCCAAGAATCCGACGCATACGCATTTGATTTCCGACTTTCGACGCACGAATTCATGTTCATGTCCATTTTTTTGCACGCCCCCCATATCCCCTGCGACGTTCCGCCCTCAACGCCCTCAATGTCGATGTCCATCTCCCATTCTCATTTCGAAACTCAATTTCAACGTCAGCGGAATTTTCGTCTCTCAATTCTTGGATCGTGCTCTCCCTCGTTCACGTTCGTGCGGCGTGTGCGGCGTACAGCGATATACCCCCCTCCCCTTCTCTTCCTCTTCTCTTCTTGGTGTGGCGGCGCCGGCAATGGGAGCAAAGGTAGTAGTTGCCGGTGGGAACTGGAGTGGGAGCGGGAGCAGCTCCTCTCGCGTATTTTATTCATCATCTTTTACCATCTCCCCTTATCTACTATTAATCCATCTCGCATCCGTACGCACCTCCATCTTCAACTTCTCTCTTTTTACTTCTGTGCATAGCTCCTTTCTTCCTCCCCACTGGTTGAGTTTCTTTTTTTTTTGGTGGTGCTTCGTGTTTTCTTTATATATATAATATACCATAATCCGCATTTTCTATTCGGCTTCGGTGTCTTTTGTTTCTGTGTATGCCTTTCTCCCCCTTTTCGCTTCTCCTTCGCCCCGCCACGGTCAATTTTCCAAACCCCCCCCCCCCACATCTTGATTCTTGGCATCGCACGCTCACACCTCACACTCCTTTTCGTGTCCATGCGTTTCACCGATCATCGATCTTGATTCATTATCCACTATTCGCTGTTCTTCATAGTTATTTAGAGCTGGCAAGATATCCTCTCCATCTTCATCTTTCTTTCTTTTTTTCGTTCTCTTTATCGTCTCTTTTCTTTTCTTGTTGATTATATTTTGGAAATTGGTCCCCGGGTTGAAAAAGAAAAATTCAAACTTGCGTAGGAAGAGATGATGAAGGCGATGAAGGCGTCATGTTGATTATACGATGCTGATAATATACTCGATACGATGGTTCTAGATGGGATAATACAAGAATATTAATGAACCTCCTTTCCGTCTGTGAATCAGCTTGTGAATCATCGTCGGGCTCGGGATGCGGGACTCGCCCGTACTTTGTGCGTCGAGCTGAGTGGCCCCTCGGCGTATTAGTATTGCTGCAATGAATAGAGAGCGGAATGGAGGACCGCCGCAAGGATTGCCAAGAGCGCGCTGAGTCAGGCTCTCCCGACTGGGTGTATACAGTATTACGGGGACAGGGGACATCAGCCTCGGGGAGCGGGCGGTGGTCGCCGTCGGCCGCAAGCAAGAGATTAATATTGCTTGCAGAGTCAGTTTTCATATAAGTATTACATAGATGCTTCACGCGATACGAAGTGAGTAAGCGCGCGCGCCAAGTCCCGAAAGTGATTACTAGTTACCGCTCTCTCTTGCGATCACCTCAGGCCCGAGCGATGGAGGCGAGCTCAGGCGCGCAGTGGTATTCTGGCGGGTGACACCAGGGGATGCGCCACATAGGCGACGTGACTCGACTCTGGCGAACTTCTCCAGAGGTTGATCTTGCCTTGCCTTGTCACAGATTCAGCAGAGTAGTACTAGTACTGCAGGGTGCCAGCGGGCTGAGAAATAAAGACGTCTTGGTTGCCGAGTCGGATTCTGAATCTATCGGTCGACGTGGTCGACGTCGAAGCACCTGTTCGAAGTAAGCACTTCGCGTCGTTAGGCGATAAGGCGGCCGTTCACGCTAGACATCTGACTGTGCAAGTTCGTTCGGGGCTATTAGGGCCAAGTATCTGGCGGGTTACGCGGCCGGCAATAAGACTCGAGCTCAAACCCATTCGCGCCTTGGTAGTAGTACGACTCCGGGAGAGAGACACTTTCGGGCTTTCGGGTCGACGTTCGATGTTCTTCGGGAAACGGGCTACGAACGTCCGAGTCTGTCGTGACCTGCAATTATCGTAAACAATAAAACCCTACCGAGCAGCGATCACAAGTACTATCAACACGGTTTCAGTTGCTGGGCAACGGCCGGCCGTTTAGCCATATACACGCGGATGCCGGCGACCCTTCGGGGCCGGGTGCGCAGTGCGTACACTCGGCAGCGTCAACGCTGGGGGTGCGCATTCCAGTTAGAACGCTTCTTTTCGACATCGAGTTGGAATCTGGAATCAATCACATTAACTCCAGGTCTTTGCGTAACGAATGGGGTTGAAAGGTACGAAGGGTTTGAATATCCGCATCGCCTCGACGCGAAAAATGAAAGGTACTTTTGCAGGAACAGGAACAACAGTAATTTTGGTGAGTCCTTTACGACGCAACGCATTGAATGGGTACTTGGACTTGAACAGCGCGGCGGGATGGTGCCGAGTCATTTTACTCTATTGGTAACGGTGATAGCAGGTTTCAGCGATGATGATGATGACAGATGGTAGAATTGAATGCAAGATGGAGATGGGTAGGCCTCCCGACTGGTCTGGGACAACCCCAACACCGTGTTAGCACTTGGGGGATTTGGACGCCTTCGATTAAGAAGCTCAGTTGCGTACGTGATTTCGACTTGATAAAAGAGAGCGTAGGTCGGATAGCCGTCGCCTTTGTGAGCACAATTGAAGACCACATACTTAGTACTCACCGGTAGATGCGGAAGACCTGGACTTTTGTACCTGGTCGAGGTAACGAACTCTTAATGAAAGATCGATCCTACTAAGTTACTGTACTTACCGCAGTGCCGCCGCCCCACAAACCCCAATAAGCCCGAGTATTGCGTTCGCAGGAAATCCGTACCAGCCATCCATCAGCAATAGCGGCGATATGCTTAGGACCACATCTATAGTCTTGTCGTTCCGCTGATGCGATCGTGTACTATATCCCACAGGAGCCTCACGCACCTCCGGTAAAATCTTGCATTCGACAACAGAGAGACACTGCGACAAATTACTGAGACTTGCTCGAGAATATTAATCGAAGCAGGGACCGGTGTAGTACCTACTTTCGTGATGAAGGTAGGAGCGTTAAGTCCAGTGAAGAGCAAAGATTTCGACCCCCGACTCGCGCGTCGACGCGGCTTTTGACAACTTCAAGCTGCTCAACGGCACTGCGTCGATATCCCCCTCGCACTAGTCGCGTTATTACCTACTTGCCTGCTACACCGTCTACTCAGCAAAAGTTCTGTTCGACGTTGAGATTGCTATACTCGTCGCAGAACGAACCACACATGGGGCTTTTAACAATCATCCGCAAGAATCGGCAGAAGGAGAGGGAGATGCGGATCCTTTTCCTGTCAGCCTTGCCCATCCTCGCTTCTGACCGAATATGGCGGACGCTGATGTTCTGTCCTGGGATTTGTATATCTGGTGTCGTATATCTGGTGTTATGCGGACGATCGTGGTCGTTGCATCTCCAGTGGCTTAGACAACGCCGGAAAGACTACTATCCTCAAGCGGCTCAACGGAGATGATGTACGGGAAGTCAGTCCGACGTTGGGATTCGAGATTAAGACGTTTGTACGTGGCAAGTTGGTATCTCATTATATCTGCTCCAACTTTCCTGGAATTCTGAACCCTTTTCGTCCCAAATGACAGATATACGCTAAACATATGTTCGTCCGCACTCCCATGTCTCGGTCTGAAGGACACACGAGTTGAGAGTATCCAACTAAAATTCAAAAGGGGATGTGGGCGGCCAGCGATCACTTCGACCTTACTGGCGCAATTACTTCGAACAAACTGACGCGCTTGTCTGGGTCGTGGACTCTTCCGATCGACTCCGCATGGATGACTGTAAGGCAGAGCTGGATGGGCTCCTATCTGAAGATGTGCATCCCATTCCGCGATTTTAATGGCCTCACCTACTCATGACAACCTTGTATAATTATCACAGCGGCTAGCAGGAGCGACACTTCTCGTGTTCGCCAACAAGCAAGACCTGGATGGTGCCCTTTCTGATGCCGAGATCCGAGATGTAGGCCCGAGGCTTCTTCCTGGGTTTGAATGTACCTTGATAACTTTGTACCTCCAGGCTCTGGCTCTCCGTTCGATCATGTCACACCACTGGAAGATTATACCATGCAGCGCAGTTACAGGAGAGAACGTTGTCGAGGGTGTTGACTGGGTGGTAAATGATGTCGCTGGAAGGCTATATTACGGCTCTGTAGAGAGTAGTTTGTGATGGTACGTCTTTTGATGAGGAAGGACTCTTCGCAGCTTCTTTATGCAACTTGAAGTCATCTATCTTCAAGCATATATAGGTCCAAGTCACGACAATGGTGTCATCTACAAAAATAAAATAAAAACAGACGGCTAAACTCGTACCGACTACTGGTTTTACATGGCTCAGCTTTGACGTTATTTGTGGGCGCGACCTTGTAAAAGGTTTTCGGCAGTTTATCCAAATGCTTTGCGATCCTGACGTTTATGGCAAGAAGGCCTAGGCGTTGGCTAAATGCCCATCGGCGCAATACACGATGCCACTGGCGCGCCAGTAAGCGGCACACCTTGAGGGATCTCCAAATAAAAATGGAAAAACAAACAAAACAGAAGAACGTCGCCAGTAGGACTCGAACCTACGCCCTCAAAGAGGATTTGATAGTAGAGAGTATTCTAATCAAACGCCGTAACCGCTTGGCTATAGCGACTTATGGATTGGAGCCAAAAGAACGCTCAACAAATGGACGGGTGATGGGTAAGATAAATGCTAGCATTAAAATCCGAATTAATCGCTAGGATGACGAAAAAATACATGTGTGAGTGGGGGTGCTCATATCTTATGATGGCCCGGAGTTGATATATAGATCTTCTAATGTCTAAGGTCAAGGAGGGTGGGTCATTTGTGCTCCACTGCAACATTGGTATGTTTCTTGGCTGCCTGAGTCCGAAGCAGCCATGCCAGATTCTCGTAAACCACAAAGGTGACGCAAGTCCCAGGGAGAACGCGGACAAGGTTCGTAGCCAGCCCACGATAGAATCCCCGGGCCCCTTCTTCCGCCCAAGTACGTTTGACGGTTGTAGTGATATCGGGATAGCGATCTCTCGTTGCGTAGTTCTGGATTCGGGAGCGGACAACTTGATATGGGTAGGTTGAGGAGAGTGCGAGTAATTTGGCGGTTGCGGACATGATAGTGTACGCCGTGTTGGACTAGAAAAGGGGTAATCAACAATTGTAAGAACCAAGATGGATGTGATACGAACGAGCTTTTCTTCTTCGCCCTTCCATTCACCACCACGATCGAGCACTCGCTTTCGCTTTGCGGTAAATCCCCATTTCTTCATCTGTTCGTAGGCCATAAACTGTATCGAACCATTGGTGACCCCAAAGAGTGCCAGTGTCGTGCCCAGCCAGAGCCCACGAATCCCCTCTGTTCGAGCTATTGTCGTTAGCCCATCTATAAGGATGCGTCTTGTTTAATCGATAGTAAGACGGAAGAAGGCGATGACGCGTGCATACGTATTACTCCCCGATAAGCGTTGGGCGAATCGCGCCGCGTCGTAAACATTCGCACTTTGACGACCCATAATGGGTTCGTTAACAATGCCGTTATTGCACCTAGAAGATGAAATAAACCAATTATTAATGTTGGGCTGGGCAAGAGAGGAATGAAGGTGGTGCGAACTCGCTTCGGCGGAGGCTAAGAGATATTGTCCAGGACTGATAGGTGCGTTTGGGTCCCCATGCGTCATCTGCCGTTTGGCCATGGTATAGCTTTGAAAAAGTGTACTCATTGCAGCGCAGAAATACACGAACAATACGCGATGCAACTCACAACCAAAAATACATCCCCCAGCTCGTTGCATTACCAGCAACATTGGCACTCAAACCGCGATAGAGACCTTGAAAACCGCTTGTCCGTTTGATGTCCCCCAGTGCCGTGTACATCTGCCTTAGTGGGTTAAAAGATCCGGATGGCGGCGTCGTTGCAACTTGGAACTGGACTTTCAGCAAGTCTAGTGGGTGCATGCAAAGCACGGCGACGGTGCCTGCTCCAATGCCCGCGAATGCATGATCCTGGGGTAGAGAAGATTAGAACGCGCCCAGAGACGCGCAGAGAAAAATGGACTTGCAAACGCTGGCGTTGGGAAAAAGCTGGGGCCAGAGTGCGAACCCATGGGTTTCAATGAAGGGGACAAGAGCAAAGACTTAAAACTCATTAGCTGCTGATTAGTAATAAGGATTTGTAATGGCCACTCGGCTGCTGAGACCGATAAGATAGGCCGCACTCATACTCATACGTGCTCGGCAAAGTGCCGAGTTTGTGACCCGTTGTGACTGCATTGCCACCGGCATGTTCGACGACTCAACGCCTCGAGGCCCGTAAATACAAGTATTGAGTCTTAGTCTTCGCGAGCTCCTCGAATATGCGCTCGGGCAGCACACGATGACCGCAATATTTTTTGGACGGCCAAGCGGCTTGTTTTCCGTTGATATCTTTTTGGTACGCATCCATAAAACGAAGTGAGTCATCTGTGTGGCAGCACTCAGACCATGCGCCCACACTTCTCAGTCCCACGCCGAAAGCGCCTCAATGTGATTATCCAAGGTCACCATGACAGCCTGACCGTGTGGGTGCTTGAATAACGAAAAGATAGCACGCAAATTTAGATAGAAATTCACTTTTCGGGCTACCAAGAAAATGTGTAGTACTAGATTGGAGCTACTTCGAGCAGACGACGCCCTCCTGCAAATGAGACTCCAATTTGTCAAAGATGGCCTTTAGAGCCTTTCAATCGAGTTTACCGGTGGCCGTACGCGGAAGCGCTGGGAGTGGGATCCACAGCGTGGGCACCATATTGTAGAGCATCCTTGGGATCGCGAATTCTTTCAGACGCTTCGCTTCAGCAGTAGCCTCCGCCATAAGGGCTGGACTGAGAGTGGTGTCTGAGATCGACTGCACGTCCAGGCTGCTGGTGCCCCGCGAGGTGTTGCAGATGAGGCATGGTGCGAGGAACGCCGTCAGGTGAAGCTTGCCTTTATATGCGACGAGATCGCGGCGCTCAGCCATGTGCTCTGCGCCAGGAGAAGAACAGACTGTCGTGGGATAAATAAGGGAGTGAAATTTGAGAGTACCAACTACGAACCTAGCTCAACGCGATATCCTTCCACGCAGACCTGCAAGTCTCAACATCTGGGACAGGGCTGGGAGGCGTCTGTTGAAGAAAATTTTCGAGTTAGGCCAACAAAAACAGATAGAGAGCTTCATTTCTCATACACTTTCTTTTCCTTCTTCCTCAAGCGCTCGCTTCCTTGGTACGCCTGACATGGCATACTCTCCAAGGTTGGTTACTCTTGATTTTCTGCGACGCAACATGGTTAACTCTTCTCGGGTGTTGAAAAGGCTGAGCTTCGAGCTTCAGGGCTCCGGATCTGGATCCCGGACTGCCGGGTTTGTCACGCTTGCCGAAGCCTCTTGTCCAGGCTGACACTTTCACCTCCTTCTGCACAACAAGTACGCAGAATAAACCAAAACTGAGCTATCAAAGTGTTCGCCTGATGATTTTGTACCATCTGATAGTACAGATTTTTCCAAATATTACTACAGGAGGTTCCTTAGCGAAATTAACGGTATCAGCTATGCATTGCATCCGGGCTCGTATGAGTATGAATGCGGCCTATCTTACGACCCCTGCTTTTACGACCGATACCTTGCTGCTTGTGCAAAAAACTCGAGGCCATCGTACAAATTTCATGCGTATTATCCGGGCGAGTAATGGAGATACGACAATATGCACGAAAAATATCAACACCTGGACCATTAATGAGGACCAACGCAGGACGTGAGGTCAATTTACTTTTATTTGGCACGAGGATCGATTACTCAAACGTACAATACTACAAGCCCTTGCGACTCACCGCCAAGTTCTTATCCACAAAAAGGTATATCAGCGAATAAATGGTACTAGTGGTTTGGCGGAACGCAAGCGGCGTGGGTTCGACTGGCGCAATCGTCCCGTGGATCGTCATTCCGTTCTTCTATCCCTAAGTGCCGAGATCCACGCACATAGCCTTCAGATTGATACGCCATTTTTCTTGAATCATCGAAAATTCATTTTCATGAGTGCGTACAGAGTACATGAAATCGTAAGAAAGGGGGATTGAAGCTGAAAGAGGTCATTGAAAGCCAAGTGAAAAGCGAGGCGTAAAAGCACAACAGGTTTGTGAGAAAGAAGAAAGCACAAATTGCCATTATTTCTGAGTAGTGGCGTATGGGTTCACGCTGTACACCTTGATGACGGGGGGACTCTTGGTAAGGTCCGCCGTGACGATGACCTATAGGAAGGAAGGCCTGAGCTGCAGGTAAAATACAAAGCAGAGAAGGAGGCGTACGGGAACAGTCATGAGCTCGCGAATGTCTTGGATCTGGTGCCCCGAAGGCGTCGTTCGGATACTCTCAAACGTAGGGGCCTGCTGATTTGCCGAGCGCAAGCGCTGCTTCGAGGTCTCAGGCACCTCATCCTTCTTCTCGGTGTCGTCGGTACGCTTCATGAGCACCTCGTCTTCCTCGTCTTGATCGTCTTCGTCGAACAATGCAGACTCGTCGTGGACGGATCGCGACGCGACTTCCATCTTAACGGCGTGCTGCTCAGCGGTTTGCTTGATCTTCTTGAGATGTTCATCATCGCTGTTTTCGGCCAACCAGCTGATGACATCGCGGTCGGACCAATAGATCTGAAGAGTATGCGAGTGCTCATCGTAGACATGATTCTGTAATAAAAAATGTCAGTACGAACCGGTAAAAGTCAGGGGGAAAGATTCAAGTACATCAATGGGCATCTGGTCAACGTGGACGCGCTTCTCAATACCAAACTCGGGGACGAGCACATCGAAGGCGGCGTCCAAAACACCAATGACTTTGGCCTGGCGGACAACGGGTCCGTAGCGTTGGGTAAGGTCTGAGATAAGGAGGCACAAGAAAAGATGCGCAGACTGCTCCTGGGCGAGTTTGGCTGAGTCGCGTTTACTGCAAAACGACAAGTTAGATGATACTCCAACGAGGGCGAAATAGAGTAATACTCACATATTGCACTGTTGGGCAACCTTGGCCACAGAATCACGGTCCATCGTGAACTTGGGCTCTGGTCCTGAAATGTTATTTTATTAGATAAAGGCCGCTACATGTATTTCCAAGGATAGATCGCCTACCTCCAGAAAGAGCAGACTCGAGCTGACGATGTACAAGGACATCAGCGTACCGCCGAATAGGCGAAGTGAAATGGGTGTAAAGAGGCTCATTGAGAGCATAGTGATTATACTTGGCGATATCAAGCATGCCGGAGCAGAAGTATTTGGCGCGATGCATAGCCTTGGTGGAAAGGATCTCGAGCAGTCGGCGAGCATCGTGGTCGGTAACAGCTTCGAAGGAGCGCTGCATAGCACCGGCAGAGGAAATGTCAACAGTGAAGCCCATGCGCTCCGCGCGCGTCTTGAATGCATTCTAGTTCGAATAAGAGGTTAGACACGCTGGCAGTCAGGCACGCCCGGGTTGCAAGACTCACCAAGCGACGCTCAATCGGCTCTTCGTGACGACGCAACAAAGCCTGTTCGGGGAGATGAACAGCGATTTGTTGTGCGACTGAGAGGTTGGTGAGAAGCATGAACTAAACAGAATCAGGGTCAGTGGAGTGTGCGATATGAAAAACAAAA